TTGCCGCCCGTGCTCACAGTGTGGGCGAGATGGGCCAGCTGCTCGCTTCCTGCATCCAGAAGGGGTTTGTCCGGTGCGTGACTGTGTGCGTTTCCCTAGAAGTGGGTAATAAATGTGGACATGATCCTGGCAAGGTCAGGACTTTGTGGACCTTGGCAGTTTGATGGGAATATTAATTTCAGCTCATTGACACTGAAATAGCAAATGCTTATCGCGTGGCCCAACTGCACCTGTGCTAAGTACGGCGCTTGAATATGTGCTGCGGAGTGTCACTTTTCACCTGGGCTGGTTTTTGTTAAAAAAAACTGAGGCCAGGATGTCCGGGGGGATCTCACTTCCTCCACACATGCCGTTTTCTTCTGGGAAGTCGCCCCCAAAGCTGCCAAGTGCCACCAGTGCACCTGCTTTCCCCACCAAAACTGGCCAGTCAGAGCTCCATGTACTGATCTGCTCTGTGCGCTTATGCCATGTGTGGCCTGGCTGCGTCCGAGGAGTCAAAAGCCGCTGCAGAGGCGCCCTCACGCTTAGCTTCACCACAGTCAGCAGTGTGGAGGGTGATCTGAAGCAGGTCTGAAGCCATTGCACTTACCAGCAATTACGTTGAGTCAATATGGTTAGGATCTGCGTAAAAGTCACACCTGTTGAACCTGCAGCCATGATTCAGTGATGCACCAGCTCACAGCTTCCGCAGCACCAAGACCCAGACTGCAGATGGGATAATAGCAAGTCTTATCCAGTGCAAAGAGTTTTAGAATGAAAAGCAGCCTAGTGTTTTCCGTAATAGTTTAACTGCTCATCTTTCTCCAGGTTAATGGGCTAAAGTTTTACCTGAACCATTTCTCTGTCCAGCATGCTTCATATTCTAATGGAATGTGTAATATCGGTTGTGACATCCTTTTTGAAATTCTGACACATTGGTGCTGAGCAGCAGGACAAACAACTTTGGCTTAACATAATGCAAACTTCTTGGAAATGGTAGTTGCCCTTGATTTCATTAGGTGAGCTGGCTGGGGCTGGAGGTCAGACTAGATGGCCTGGGGGACCACTTCTGACTCACTCTGTTTCTCTGATTTCTTTTTATTTATGTTTGAGTTTGATGTTTATTTGATCACAATACATTTTAAAAATTATTACTCAGTATGCCAATTCTTGAACAAAGACTGAAATCAAAGACAGCCAAATATAGAAAGACATTATCCATAATTTGTCCTCTATAATTTGACATCTGTTCTCCAACCCTTATATAATAAGTTTATTTCATAATTGTTGTAACATCCAAGATACCAAAGAGAACAGTCATACAAGGGAAGGGCAATACTGTGTTCCCAAAATGAAACTATTGAATATTTTGTTGTTGTTAAACTATTAATTATCAGTGCCACACCTGTCTTTTCCACATAGTCATTCTAATAATTATTAGGACCGTACAGGTCCCCTTGGTTTCCAGTGGCGTTCTGTAGAACTGCTCCACTCGATGCACTTGCTGATGGCACAAGTTGGTTCCTTCTACCACTATTCATCTATTCATTTATTTCCGGTATGGTGCGATCCTGTGGACGCTGGAAACTGTCTGGATGGCTTGAGCAGGCTTTGCTGTACCAGCTCCAACCACAGGGGTGGTGCGCCAGGGGTGGTGCGCCCTTCCTCGACCCGTACAGCCCACACTGGAAGCTTAGAAAGACTTAGCCAAATCAGCCATCCAAGTTCTTTGCAGGGCAGGCGAAGTGCAGAGGCAACCTTTGCCTCCATGCGCCTTTGCCTGCCATAGGATTCTTGCCACCCTCCCAGTGTGGAGAGTTATGGGCAGCAAATGCAAATGTGCTGTTATTGTTATTTGTTGAATTTGTGTCCCACTTTTCCCCCAAGCAATGCTCCAAGAGCAGAGCCATTCAATGAAGCAACAATAAACAACACAGTAGAAAGAAAAACCGAGGCAGGTAAAACACATAATTAAAAGTATTTAATAAAAGCAATTTAAACCAATTGCTCCTTATTTACATGGAGAAGAACAAGACAGTTTTTGAGTGGAAGTGCTCTCTAAATCAGTTTGTTTTTGCCTGCAGGCAGAAGCTCCCTTGAGATTGGGCAAACTGGGCCTGAGAACAACTATCGAGAAATCCCATTCTTGAATTCCAGCAAACGTGCTTCAGAAATTAGCAGGACAGAAAGAAGGCTTTCCTGGCTAAATCTTAACTCCACAGAGGCTCACAGGGGGCAATGCCATTCTTCTAACCTGGTCTAAGTCATGGAAGCCTTTGTAGAACATGAGCTGACTAGCGCTTGGAAATGGACCGCTAGTCAAGGAAGCTATCGCAACTCATGCAGGTCGCAGGTTGCTAGCCCTGGCCCTCGCTGCAGTGCTGGCCAGCCACCCCGCCACATGCCTGGCAATCGTGACAGCCCTTGGGGGAGTGTGTCCTGCATCATGCTGGCAAATGCGCGGAGCCGCAACTCCTCTGTGCAGCAGGGACCAGGGCGGTGTGCCGTGAAGCACGCACCCTGCCACAGCCCGTGCGTTCTGCGGAAGGCCTCAAGACTGATGGCTGCACACACAACTGCATTTGGCTTTTATTATTATTAGCCAAACCTGTTTGTCTACCTGGGTGTACCTACAACTAGGGATGTGTGGAATTTGTTAAATTTGTTCCGGCTCTGCTTCATGGACTGTCAAGCACCTTTCACACTATCCATTCACTGATGGGATCAAATGAGTTGTAGGAGAATTTCATTCTACTTGCGCTAATTTGTATGGGCAGGGAAGTATCTTAGCACATCTGTCAATGCTATTCCTGTGGGCCTTCACTTTCCTGGCTCTCTCTCTTTCCCCACTTAGTCCTGTTGGTAGATCCTCAGGAGGTCCTCCCAAGAGCAAGGGAAAGGTGGGAACACAAAGGCAGGCGTGGTGAGTGTGGTGGAGCCACAAAGGGATTTTTCCCCCTGGAGCAAGGCCGGATTGGAACAGACTGGGGCTCTCTCCAGTGCAGGAAGCGATATCTGGGTAACTTTGCTTACTTGGAGCAAGTTGGAGGACCAAGCCAACCCTCCACAGTCGGGGAAAACGGGTTTAGGGATAGATGGTTTGTTTTAAACCTGTTCTTCTTTCAGATATTTTTTTAGGGAGGTATGAGAATTGCATTCAACTAGTGTGCAAGTGAATTGCACAAGTGCAACCTCTACAAGGTTAAAAAAACTGTCTGTAGTAGAAGCTGCAGGTCACATTCATAGGAACATGAAATCCTTAGAATACATAGTGGGTTTCCCCCCTAACAAGGTCACCACACAATGCCAGGAACGATAGTAACTCCTCAGCCATGTGCAGACAGTAGTGTGAATGGGATGGCTTCTGTGAAACAGAAAAACATGTGGCGTGTTAAACCCTGTAGAAGCAAACTCGTTGTGCTGCTGATGGGGCTTCACTGCAGGGCTGGGTGGCGGTGATGCATGGCATACCTTCCCTTTGTTTCATCACGTTCATAAATCTTTCTGGCGAAGGAAGAGAACGAGATCACGCCCCACTGCCTTGCTGGTGCTGCTTTGAGCCCACCAGGCCTTTACTAGAAACTCAGAGCATGACAGGCTCCTAAAACAAGTCGGGAATGCCGTGCCGTTTGGGAAAGGACTGAACGCTGCAGCCGGGATGAGGAGGAGGAACCCGTTCTGCGAACAGGTCCATAGCCCACTCATCTCATCCACTCAAATTCACAAAAGTTAACCCCAAATACAACGTCATACAGGCATATCAATGGATCAGTTTTAAGCTCTCTGGGCAGTTCACAAAAATACAAAGTATGAATACAGCATTGAATGCACCATAACATGTAAACGTTTAGAACTACAGTATAAAATAATGGTGAAAGTTAGCTAGTCTCGGCAGTTTTGTTGCCCTGCTTTGAAGCAGCTGAAGTTTCTGGGCTGCTTGCAAAGGCAGTCCCACATAAGATGCATTGGAGCAATCCAGCCAGGTGGTTGCATGAATACCTGTAGCCAGGCTATCCCTGTCCAGGTAAGGACATAGTTGGTGTATTAGCCTAAGCTGATAAAAGGTGCTCCCAGCCACCAAATCCATCTGTTCCTCTGGCGACAATACCAGATCCAGGAGTACTACTGACTGTGAGGTGCGGATGTCCAGTGCCTCCAGAACAGGTTGGACCTCGGTCATCCAGGCAGGCAAACCACCCACCAAGAGTACCTTTCCCTCGTCTGGACTCTTTAATGTCCTTCATCCCATCCACATCCAGGTCCAGGCACCGATTCAGAGCAGCCACGGCCTCATTTATGCTTGTTAATGAGGAGACACAGAGCTGGGTGCCACCAGCATGTTGCTGACCTCTCATTCCACCTTCCCAGCATTCTCCACCAGTGGCTTCATGTGGTTGTGGAACAGCATGAGGGAAAGCAGTGTGCCCTGTGGAAGCCCACAGGACAGCTGCCGAGGCGCAGAAGAACAGTCCTCCAGCACCTTGTTTTGGGCTGAGCTGGCATTCGGGACGAGCATTGCCGGAAGACCTGAGGGCAAGGTGGTGAGGTCCCTGGCCAGAGGCAGACCAAGAGGAGCAGGCAGGCACAAGATGTTCACCCCACTGCTCCTCAAAAAGTCTTTAGAAGCGTGGGATAGAGCCAAGTGGTGAAAAGATGCCAAGGTTGATACCAGGCGGCCTTCCATGGGGACAGTGTAGCATTCTTGGAATGCTGCTGTTGCGAAGGTTCTCCCCTGTCCTGCCACCATCCTCTCAACCTTTCCTGGAGGAGGCACCCAAAAGACGGTCTCAGACAGTGATTCTCGTGTGCTTGCTCACAACCACCAATGTTGCTTCCAACATTTTGCCAAAAGTGGTATATGAAATGAATCCAGGAAGAAAACACTGCAGGGCTTCCTTATGAAAGTCCAAAGAGTTTGGTTAAGACCAAGGAATTGATCAGGAGAAAGGAGAATACAGGAAGTCAGTTTGCATAAAGCAGCACTGCAAGAAAAGTCAGAGCAACCAACAAAGAGTTGTGGGAGGAGTGTTGTAATATTGCTTCATGGAGCATCTGTGCATTGTGCCAAACATTGTTTTTCACAAACCAGCCACCCAACTCATGAAAGAATATGTAGTCTATGTGCACTGAAGAGGTAATGTGCAACGTAGGAAGATTAAAAGAAACCCTGAGTCTAAAATATACAGTGAGAAGGGGGTGTCTTTCCCTCTCTCGCATATGGCAACATTCTCATGTTGTAAAACTTGCTGGGAAAACAAAAAGTTCTCAAAGAGGCTTGCTACTCTTTAGTAGTGCAAAAAAGCAGGGAAACTGAAGGAGAGATTCAAAGGCCATCATCAGAGAAAACAGATGTCTTGTCTTATGTCAAGGATGAATCCGTGAGTCTGGAATGAAAGAGAAGGGAAGCAGGAAGACAACTGAATGTACAATAAAAAGGAACTTAGGAGAAATTTGACACCCCCAGTAAATAAATACAGCCATCCCATCTCAAACAGGATGCATGTCTGGGAGGCACTGGGAAGCAGAGATGGGAATGATACTTTGCAATTGGCATGTTCAAAGCAAAAAGAAAAGAATCCTGCCAGAATAGCTTTAAAATAGCATGTTGGAAAGGAATGTTTCAAATAATTGAACATCCGCTAACCAAATGGCAATTCGGTTTTACTTCCTTGAAAAGCACCACTGTGCAGAGCAAAACAAAGAGAAGAAAGGAGAGGGTGAAGGACAGACCCTCCCAGCCTCACAAGGAGAGCAATTTGCCCGCAGGTTCTCCAGCTCTGCCCCATTGAAGTTAATGATTCCCGCACACATTCTTATGCACCTCAGCAGGATTTGTGCAGAAGCATGTCCAGGGCTCAGCTACCTGGCATTATATACGACTAGCCATCTCAATTCCCCAGAGTTGTGCAGTTTGGAACAGCACCCCACCCTGCATCCCCAAAGACGCGCCCTTCGCATGCACGGGGATGCAGAGGTGCGCAAGCACTTTAGGAAAACGACCTGTGGGCAAAGTGGACTCGCCCAGCGGGGAGGCGCACACGCCGGAGCCACGCAGTCCCGCCAAGGACCCAGCTTGCGTCGCATGCTGCTTCCGTTGGCAGTGGGGGCAGGGCCTCCATGGACCCTCGTTTTGCACAGCATCTGTGGCACATTGGCTTGCTGTGCCTAGCTGTGCTCAAGGGCGCAATGTAGGGGCCCCTTGGGGGGTCAGAGCACCCCCACTTATTTGGGAGGGGCCTCTTGGGGGGGTTGCTGGGTCCCCGAAGTCACTGTCCCTCCCCCACCGCCTCTCGAGAGACTTAATTTTGCGGCTCCATGGCTGGCAGCCACCACTGAATTTAAACAGAGTTCTTTTGCAGCAGCCCCTGGGAACTCCCTCTCTGGAGAGGCCTGCCGGGCCTGCACAGGTGTTGAGGTGTGGCCTTGAATACCGTGAAAGGACCCCCCCACACACGCACGCACTTCTAAATTTGCCATTGCATCGTTGTGTTGTGTTGTGTTGTGGCTTGTTCACAGGGGTAAGCATCCCCAGTTAACCCTGAAACAAGCTGTGGATTATAACTGCTGCCCTCAAACAACACACAATGCTAGGCTTGTGCAACCCAGCAAGAGACAAGTGTGCCATCACGTGCACATTAAAGAATATGTTCTGCTCAACTGATCCATGAGGAAAATTAAACCATGATTGCTTAGCATTATGTGTGAACAGGCCCATCGTGTAAAGAACCCTAAATCTTGGGCGGTAGAAGAGATGGAATGAGACAGATTGGCTGAAATCCTGAACAAGGAACAAGAACCAGTTGCTCCATGTGGCAACTTTTTGTTCTAAATCACCTCGTTTCTTTTAATTTACCAGTGTCCAGGTTATCAAGGTACCCTTAAGGCACGGCACATGCTGGCCGGTGCAGTCGCATGGGATCAAGCCAGGAAGGGGGCTGTAATCAATACGTACATTTTTGGTCCGCAACTTGAGGCTTCGTTGGCAGGATGTACTGATGGTGAGTTTACAGCCTATTAGCAAAAATGAAGAGCTCTGTGAATAACTTCAGTAGATTAAGTTTGGCAATGAATATGGGAGAAAATTGTGAGGATAACAATGGTGAATTTAACACATTAACACAAAACATAACATCAGTGGTATTTAACTGCTGTTCAATTCATATATGGTTTACTTAATCCTAAATATGGGAAATGTATTCCAATTTCTTCCATTCATTTTGGAAATGTGAATGAATCGTGGTCTACTTGCAAGCAATATTGTCCTATACTGAGCAAATTATGGGGCATAAACTTGCAGATAATCCTTTGAGAATTTTGTTAAATTATTAAAAAGAAGTGTGGGTAACAGTGATACAAAAATGGCGATCCATTTGTTTAAAAACTGTTAAGATCCATACAGTTTCTTACCGGAAGAGAAATGCTTCCCATCCTGTACTGGATTTTTTAAGGGGTCTAGGATATGGTAGTTATTCTTATTAATTTCATTTTATCCTGCCCAATAACTAGTTATGATGAAAGTAACGTATTCTATAAATGCTTGAGAAATTCAGATGTATGAGAATTATTTTGTAAAGAGATTGATGGTATTTGCAATATTTTGGAGTGGTACTTTTCAAGCTGATGTGCATCCTTATTCTGTATTCACCAGATGTGAAATAGTCCCCCCCCCCCGTGTGTGCGTGTATGTGTGTGGTTATGGCTACATTTATGTGTTTGAATATTAATGGTGGCCTAACCAGGCTGTGTGTATTTACATACATACCTGGATAAGTATCTTGGATGCTTTCTTTCAAAATACTGAGATGCCAGGCATGCTCAGGAAGTCTCTTATGACATAGCTTGCATGGTCCCACAGTCTTGTTTTCTGCACTTCGGGTACACGATGCTGCCTTTTGCAATACAACTCTGGAATAGCAAGACGCACGCATCTCCCTCCACCTTCCATAGCAGCAGCTCATCAGTATTTGATTCCTGGTGCATATTGCTGGCCATTGATTTCCACCTGGCCCTCCTCCTTGTTCGGCACCAGGAGGCTTGCCTTTGTACCAAATGCCACCATGTCAATCTCAGGGCGACAGGGAGGAATGGGGTGCAGTTGGAGGCAAAATTAAAGCACAGTCCAGCAGATGAGGTGATTGATTCCCCCCTCCTGCTGCTGATGGTCTTTTGTGCACGGGTGTGCGCACACACACGGGCACACACACACACTTCACCAGGCCATGAATTGCTAAGTTTGCTACCGACACAGACAGGGCCCATAATGCAGAAGAGGGCTGAAAACAAACAGAAGCAATTAATTTTCACAAGCATTGAGGTAAGTCGTTAAAACAAGGCGGGGTGCAGGGGGGAGGCAAAGGCCTGTGCAGTGCAGCATTTGCTGGGGTTGCTCCAGCTGTGGGGCACTTGTGCAGCCACAGGGACCCACAGCATCCACAAGGGCTTCCTGGTGCCGGAAGCCACTCGGTGTTGGGTGGTGGAAGAACCATCCACAGAGGTGCTTCCGGTTAGAGGGGCTGCTGCCGACCCCCCCCTCACCTGCCCCCCTGGATGTTTGCAGGAAGGACAATGATGAGCTGAGCAGCCAGAAGACTGCTTCTGCAGAGCACGCATGCAAATATAAATGAGGGTTGCTCCCCCCGCCCTAAAAAAAAGATGGTCTGAGAGAGAATGCAGCTGAATGGCCCCGCTGCCTTCTCTACAGACTTGGGTCAGTCTGGGCTTCAGTCCTGGATTCTCCTGGGGTCTGGAAGACCCGGGCCCGGCTGCCTCAGTGGCAGAGGGTCCCAGTACACTTTAATGAAGTCTCACTTTTTAAAAACTGGTCTCAGACTCATCAGTACTTGTTTGCATTACGGCTGACACTTAGCTAAAGTAAATTGGTCTCATTCATTGCTTCTCTGGGGGAACGAGAATTCTAGAACATGCCACACTGGTTACAGAACTTTTACTGCCTCAAAGCAGAACAACTTCGATGTCAGAGGAACCCAAACTGGAAACAAACCCAGAGGTTAGAGGTCTGATCTCCCAATAAGGAGGTGGAATCCTCTTGACGCCCACTCCCTGGTCCTGCCCTGGACCCTTTTCTGTTCTGGCTTTGTGTGGGTACAGCCATGCCTCAGGGATTTAAGTCTGGCCATCGTAACAGTATAAAATCCATCCCCATAAACGGCATGTTCTGTACATCCTCCAGATTATCAAAGATGGCACATCGGCTGTAAAGGTCACACCAATCTGCTCCACAAGAAGAGGAGGCTGTGCTTGTGTGCAGAGCAGAGCAGATGCATTGATCTTATGTGTCTGGTAGCAATTAAGGAAATGTGTTGGTTTTAATCTGGGAAAATCCGCTAGTCAATTTCCAAGCTAGTTTGGAGTAGCATATTTGACCTAGAGCAATATCTGGGCTTTGTACTTCAAGGCCGCAAATGGGGCAGGCAGCGTCCTTGGGGGACGCAATTCCTCCATGACAGTAAATCATCCAATCATATTTAATCTAGAAAGTCGTATCTGGTTTGACGGTGTTCCAGAACAATGAGAACCAAAACAATGCTCATCACTTGCTGAAGTTGTATGCATATATATAAATCTTTTCCAGGCTTCAGATTTCTTTCCAACTGACACTTTCTTATAGACTCACCTGTTTTGAAAAACCTGATTATATCAGAAGAGGTTTTCTCCAGAGGTTGGCTGCACCCTTTGGGGCCTCCCATCTGCTCCTAGGCTGCCCCCCTTGCAGGTTTTGGAATTGGCATTGCATGTTCAGCTCAGATGGGGGTGGGGGCAGTGCAGGAGAAAATGAGAATATTTTTGCCAAGCGGGTGGCCTCCTGCACTAAGCACTGAGGAGGGCTTAGTGGGGTGGGTGAGAAGATGCGTCTGTGGAGTTCGGGCCTGTTTCTTCTATCAAAAAGCCTTCCAAGGTTGTTGACTTGGATTCTGATTCAGAAGTGGAGCAGGTGACCATTCTCCTAAGAGCCCGGTATCCCAGCTTTGCTTGTTTCCTTTGTCATTGGCTTCTGCAATACTCTTCTTTGGTATCACAAAGCCAGCCTGACAGCTGGCAGGTCATCCTTAACATAATGAAGCCTTTCAGTTAGAAAGGCTTTGTGCTGGTTTGCTTGGAAGAAGGGCAAAATGGTCACTTAGGCTGCAATCCTAGGGTGGCCTACTTTACAGAGGGCAATCTTCTCTTTGAAAATGCTGAAATTATTTCCCACCCCACCAAATAATTTCTAGGGATGTAGGGGATTTTATTAAACCTGTTCTACCTGCATTTCATTATCATCAAGCTCCTTTTTTCTGTTGAAATTGGATTTTTTCCTGTTCCCTCACCTGCATTCACTTGCACTTCCAAAATGTGCAAATCCCCTCCAAATGCACATGCTCATGTTGAGCCTCTGGGGAAATGCAGTTCTGGTTGCTTCTCTATTTTTTTAAAAATCTTTTTTACAGCTGCGTTTGTATAAAAATCCAGAAAGTTTTTAAAAAAATATTCCACATGTCTGCAGATTCTACGCAACTTGGGAAAAGCCAGTTGGCTGTGAAATTCATGGGTTAGATAGACATCTGAACATCCATCCCGTCTTCTGTTTTAAGTCATCTTCCGTGTGAGGGGCAGTACAAGCCAAACACAGTGGTACCTCGGCTCACAAACTTAATCCATTCCAGGACTCTGGTCGTGACCCAAGTTGGTCGTGAGCCAAGTCAAATTTCCCCATAAGGTTCAATGTAAATAAGGTTAATCCGATCAGCAACTATTTTTTTAAATCAGAAAAATGTGAAGCAAAGTGACAAAGAGCAACAAAGATTGCGGCCATCTCCCCCCCCCCCCCCGGCGGGCCCCCCCCCCCCCCCCCCCCCCCAGCACAACCGCAATCCCTGCACGCACCCGTCATCCTGGAGTGCTGGGCGGGGGGAGAGACGGGCACGAACGCTGGCGCACTCGAGGGGGGCAGACAGGCATGATCGTGCTGTGGGGGGAAGATGGCCGAGATCGTGGTTGCGCTTGTGCAGGAAAGACGGGCATGATCTCAGCCATCTCCCCCCAACCCCCAGCACGATCCCAGCCATTTCCCCGCTGAGCTGGG